GTAATTTTACGACGGCTCGATAAAGGTTTCGTCAACGGTAAGAACGCATTTCTAGCTGCCTTGATCCGAGCTATAATATCGTCTTTTGTCTGGCCATTTGGGATTAGGGTGGATCCACGGTATTAAAAGTCAAGCACTTTCTCAACAGGTAATGAATTGATATAAATAAGTCTTTTATCACCATCTTTTATATAAGACGAAAGCACATTAGTTTTATTTACATTCATTTTGAGTCCAAATCTCGCTGCAATTCTTGACACATTGTTTAACATTATTTGCATTTCATTATAACTGTCAAAAAAAATGGACTACATCAGCATATTCAAGGTCTGTAATAATACTATACTCTGGACTGATTTGCACACCACTTAATTCCCGGCAAGCGATGCTCATTATCCAGTCTATCGCATAGTTGAATATTGTAGGGAAAGCACACATCCTTGACAGACCCAGTTCTTATTTCGAAGAAGCCTATCAGTTCCTCATATACATAGATCTGCTCCGATGTACGCTCATAAAATGCCTTTATAAGTCGACTGATCTTCTCAGGAACACTGTCGCGTTCCAACATCTTCCAAAGCGCCTCTCCGTCAGTTGAATCAAAGGTAGCCGCAAAATCGATGAAATACGTGACAGCGGATTGCAAATATGTGAAGCGATATTGTAACATCCTTCTTAACATGAATACGCATCCTGCTATCCCATATTTCCATAAATCTGTTGAGTAAAAGGGAGGAAAAATTTTCGCTGAAACGTCTGGTAGGTTGATTCCTCGATAATTGTAGCAGTATATCCTATCATCTTTCTTGAGAATTGTGAGCAGAATTGCTTTGCTTCAATCATCTGGTAATATTTCTTTTTCCATACCAGAGAGTACATTTGATGAAGGTGTGTTATGAAGAATGAACAACATTTAAAGAGTTCAGCCCGAAGACCATTTTCTCCCGGAGCCTTATTGGCCTTAAGCTTATAGATAACAGATATTATTTCTTCTTGCAGTTGCAAACATATGGTTCAGCGAACGTATCAGCTATTTCAGGGGCAAAAGATGGTGCTTCATGGTTAAGTTTGGCCTCAAAGAATTCTTTCCATCTTATGAGGTGGTCCTTAATATTTTTGACTGGCACGCCATTGCTGTCCCTTACCATTTCACTTTCCCCGAATTATGTTTGAGAAGGCGGAATAGTTTCCTATTATCGTCTAATCGAGCCGCCGCCTCCATTCTTGAGGTCATGTCACTCCAATAGTGATTTCTGCCCCTCTGTGCTGCTTTCATTGCAAATCCGCGAAGCATCCGGTAATCAGGATCATCTGAAATTCGTGCTTTGGCAGTCAGTTGGACAGTTACTCCCCAACAGATATCTAACCAGCGCATTTCCTACTAATATACTGTAGTACGGAAGTTGAGGAACGATAAAAACTGTACCTTTAAATTGCAAGAATGTAGAGTAGAGAACTGATTTTTCACTGATGCTCTGTGCCTGGTGAGTCTAAAAGGAAATTCTGTATAGTGCATTGAAATGAAGAGTCATTTTCTTTTAAGATGGATGGGGAGTAGAAATCTTTTTGGCAAAAAAATTTGGTAAAATCTGGCCTGAATGGAACCTATCTACTAGATTGCATCTTTGGATTATTACTGATTTCAATTTTCTGGAATGATTTTAACTTTTTGGTTTCTATTGAAAGAAAAAATTTGAAAGTTAGCGAAAGATGCAAAACGATATATTGACTGTCGGGAATGAATGTTATTTGAATTGCGAAAATTTCCGGATTTACGATTGCAATTTTCAAATCCATTTTTATTTCCTTATTATCTCATGCGTTGTATTTTCGTCTGATTTGTTTAATCGATTATATTGCGAATTAAAGTTATTTAAGTATTAAAAATTGGTCCGAGGACGAAAAATTTTAAAAATTATTTTTTTAATTTCAAAAATTTTATTTGCTCATCTTCATCTATTATTTTGTTCAATTTATTATTTTAAACTGAACAAAAATTTTCTTGTTTACCAACCATGGGAATTAGCTAAAAAATAATAAGCAGTCGATTTTCTCTCGAAAAAAGCATGTTAAAATTCAAATAGGTTCATTTACATCAAGTTAGTCGTAGAATTTGTTACCATATTAGTCTCTCTTAGTGAACTAATGATAATACTAATAATACTAATCGACGTCAAAAATGGATTATATTCAACCAATTTTTTGAAAATCGTCGATATATAATACCTTATAAATTCTAATGGAAATCAATCCACATTATTTTCTCATCGGATAAAATAGTATAATCGAAAATTTGTTTTTATTTATTTTTATGCAGGGAACAAACCGAATTGAATAATTATCAAGCTCCCTTTAACTACTAAATAATTTTTTAATTGAATTTTTTTCCCTTGCGACTTTAGACTCTAATTTTTTGTTTAGCTAATGGGAAAATGCTTGAAAAATAATTCAATATAATTCAATAATTCATCGGTTCTTTTGTTGTACATAATTTGTTTCAGAATTTACTACTATTGATTCGAAGTTTGATTATTTTAGCAGAAGCATAGCTAAACAAAAAATTGGAGTTCTAAATTAAAATATGAAGTTTTATAATATTTAACTCTAGGGCGCCGTAGTTGGCTGAACAACACCACTCGAATTTCATTTCTAATTATTTGCTCATGAACGACTGGAATGAAACTCATGAAGCTTAACCTTTAAATCTTTTGCTATATAAATTATCCTGGAATATCAAAATTTCGATTGTTGAATGTTTTAATTATAATTAAGTGTAATTAAGGCCTTTGAAAAAATTTTTTAGCACTAATTAAGTACAGAGCAATTTAAAATGGCGTAATCGAAAATTTTGCAGATTTAATTTGATTAGACCTTCATTCGTTAGGTCTATTTTTTTTCTCTAAATTTAAGTGATTAAAATGATAAGTGCTATGCTTACTAAAATGATTTTTGTTCAATGGGCTTATTATAATTCCACTTTAAAAAATTTTTTGTTGACGTCATTGATAAGTTCTTTTAATGATTAATAATAATAAGCAAAATTATTAAGTTTTGACCGCTGATTTATTAACTGATAAAACTTATAATTATTTTCCTCATCTTTTTTACTGTTTTCCTTAAATCTGAAATCCTTCTCTTCTTTTTTACGGAACTTATCTCTTTTTTTTCCCATTGTCAAGAAATCATAAGTCATTTTTCCCATTTGCTTTAGCTCCTAAGTACTGTTTACCCATCTTCCTTGATTCTTGAATTCTTTTTTTCCTCATTTTCGATTAAATTTCAAATATTCTCTCAATTGTGCTGATAAAAATATAATTAAGCTTTTTTTATCTGTTTATATACAGCTATATCAGTATGCAATACTTAGTATCTGTTTAAATAATAATAGTTTAATTTTGTTTTCAATATATTTTTTCTTTCTAATTGCAAAATTTAATAATTTAATTAATTTTATTGATTGAATTTGTCTAATTAATTTAATTTGTATTGCAAAAATAGAAATTATACCAACATATAATTATAGCGATTTAAGTATTTTGCCAATGTGTGGTGCACGATTAGAAAAACGATAGGTATGCTCCAACGACTTATCTTTTCCTCATTTCAGCTGTAATTTTCATAAAGAAAAATTGCCATTTTTGTAAGCTTTTATTGTTAAAAATAAATTTTTTAAAAGCATATAAGACAAATATTTATTATTTCAGTGATTAAATAATATTGAAAGTCATCATGTTGTTTGTCGCCTTGTGATATTCTTACTACTGCTCCTTTCTCTTCAATTTCAATTAAGCAAATATGAACCGTAAAATTCGAATTTTTTTTTAGGATAATTGATGATAAAATTGATGAAATTAGTTGGTAAAAATTTCATTCAGTATCAAAGATTCTGTATAAAAGGCATGAGAACGAGACAACCTCCTTATTTTTTCAAACCCCTTTTGCGCAATTTTTGGGATTACTTCTTAGCTTGTCGTTTTTCCAAATTGCTTTAGGTGCCCCGTTTTTTAAATCTAATAGTTATATTTATCAATGTTATATTTATTCTGATTTATTACTTGTTTCCTTTAATTTCATGCGGCGATTTCTTAATTTTTATTCACCTTAATTTTTATTGAAATTCTTCCAAAATCCCCGAAAAAATTTTTCGTCTAATTTTTTATGAATTTAATAAACAAATATGCAGGAAAATAAATATCATTATTCCTTTTTATTTAATTCCATTTTTTTTAATTTTATTCCAAACTATTTAAAATGCAGTCAGTTTGATTGAGCATTGTTTGTCCGGAGATATATTAGTGGAGAAAATTCATCTTCATAATAAATAAGGTTTTCGATTAAGAACTTTTTTTAAATTGAAACTTTTTTAAACCGTTATTTCGATTCAGGCTTTCTACAAAAGATAACAAAGGCTAAAATTTTTTTTTCACTTGGATGAAATCTATTTTTTCAGCAATGATATTTTTATCGAATAACGCGGGAAGTTTCTAGAATTAGTTCCTAGAAGGCTAAAATGAAGTCAGTTGTGCCTCGATTCCCATGAGTAATTGACAAAAAACAATTATTAAGCATTTTCATTAAATAAATAAAGCTTCATTTTTTTCTATGGATTGAAATTAATTTTTGGCGCAATTTTTTTCTCAACACGCATCATATTTAATGAAGAACATACGAAGGGAACTCGCAGACCGTTTCGATTGATCCAATTGGTATAATAAAAATGAAATCTTGTAAAATTCATAAGTAATTAATAGTAATAATTTTCATAATTTAAATGAAAATAAACGAAATTTTTTTTAAATTCGTCTGTTGATTCTGTAAAGTAAAATGAGTTCGATATATAAAATTCGAATTTGCTATTTTAAAATGGCCGGAATATTTTTAAAAATATTTATCACTGAACTCCAATCGCTACCGATTCTTTCAACATTCTTAAGTTATTACTATCATAAATTTAAAACTATTGTATTAAATTATATTAAATCTATAAATCTACGAATTATTAAGTTGCAGTTAATAAGTTGTTTTAATTTTTCATCGTTTTTCTTCTAACAGTATTCACCATTTCTAGCTTTACTACTAGGATAAAATGCTTCGAAACTTTCTGCTTTGATGCCATGACCTAAAATTGACTAAAATCACTCTTTTTTCGCATCTTATCTCCATTAAATCGTTATGAAGACTGTAATCGAAATATCTCCTGACCATATTCATTCTGATCTGGATTGAGTTACCTAGCTTCTAGCATCATTCATTATTTATGGTTTAGACTAACTTGCAAAATATTGCATATATGTCATAAGCATGTAGTAACCATAGATGTATTATCGCACAAGAAAATCGTTTCAAGCATTCATTGTTAATAAAAATGGTTTGAATCGATTGATCAGTTGATGATGATAATTTAAGCTCTTCTTCGTATCCAACCTAATATTTATGTATTTCGTAGTAAAAACATAGCAAATGATTAAAAGAGACAGGAAATTTCAATGAGAGCCTATTCAACGATTTTACAAGAGCTAATTTTGCGAATTTTTTGATTTTGGCTACTTCTTCTAATTTGTTTTTTATCAT